GGTTCTGCAGTACTACAATACAAAAAGCAGAGGAGATTTGGCTTCAAGCAAGAGTGTGTCTTTGAGTATGTCTCCTATTCTTCGGCATATCAGAACTCTGTAAACTGTGCATTACAGATGACAATACACTTTTCTGACAAAAGGTTGAAAAGGTGTGTGTATTCAGCACTGAGATCTAATTATAGCATCTAGCTTTCCATACAGAAAAGCAAAGGTTATGTTCCAAGATCTGTGGATACTGGGAAGATACGGGTACTGGTTCTGTGTGGACCACTCCCAAGTCCAGCGTGGCTCACACTGAATCAAAGCTAAGGTGTTAGCTGCTCTGTAGGACTGTCGATGTCTCTGCACTGTGCTTCTCAGCAGTCGTATTTGCTTGGCTGCACTGTGTGCTGCTTGGTAGTCTTACTTGGTTGGCTCTGCATGTTCAGGATGTGCAGCGCCAAGCGGATGGGTCTTCTCCGAATCCTGCAAATGGGGTGCATCGTGCTGATGCAGGACTCACTTGGGATGTAGGTAGGTTCGGGGTTGGTTCATGGAAAAACTGTCACAGTTGTCCACATCATGCTCTTTGTTTCCAGACTGTAGTGGATGGACCCTAGAGCTGGTTTGACAGATAAGTAGCTTGGGTCTGTCAGAATCTGAGCTCATACTCTGAGTAGCACAGGAGACATTAGACTGCTTTATGGACTCGTGATGGCTGTACAGCGGCACTGTGCAAATGTAGTTGTGTTCTGTATAAATTAAATTCAGCCAGACCCCAGGGTGCCTCAGCATTAAGCCAGTTTGTCTGCACGTTTGATGCACAACTCAGGCAACAGAGGGTTCACCCTACTTCTGCTGCATGCCTTGATTATTAGTATTGTACGTAGATAGTTCTTTATTTCTGTTTTCAAAACAGATATGCTTTGTTGTAATGAGACCAAGTTATTCACCATATCAAATTGGTCAAAAATCTTTTTACATAGATTATTGGTGAATACCAAGTGAGGGAAATTAAAGAAGCCTGTACTGCTGCAAGATGTCCAAAATGACTTATGAGCAGGAAGGTATTGTGTTGAGCTCTGGGAGAGGGAAATAACTCTGGGCAAAAGTTCTAGGTATCATTTGGTCTAGTGCACTGCATGTATTCTTGAATGAGGTTTTTTTCATCTCTAGGCAAGTAAATGACTATGCTAGAAAGCTTTTCTTTTTTTTTTTTAAGTATGCCAGCAATGAAAACTAATCCATCCTTTTCAGTATTAAGTATTTGCCCCCTTTGAGTGAATCAGTGTTGAATGAGTTTCTGCACACAAAATATAAATAGACAAATCTCTGCAGCATCTGTAAATATACTGTCTAAACCAGCAGCTAGATCAAATCCTGTAATATAAAACAGTCACATCCTGCAACAAGGAGAATAGAGTTAAAATGGTGATGTCCTTGTCATTTAACATTGGAAATTGTAGGGAAGACAGGAACTGTATCCTTGAATGTTTGTATTACTGTCTGTTGGTATTTTAAAACCCAGAAATGTTAGTTTTCTTTATTTTTTTTTAAAGGAGATTACAAAGTGTGTATTTGTATGCAGGACTTTGAAAGCAACACTGGAATTAGATAATTAATAAAACCATAGTGGATGAGGTTGGAATATAAATGTAGTCAGGAGTATGGCTGATCTTAATTTAGGAGATAGATAACACTGGCTATAGAGGAAAACTAGGTGATAGAGAAGGAGAGGCATAATGTTTGGAGCTGTGGTGTTTAGTGATCTCTTGGAAGCTCAATAAATCGGATCGCTGGTACGGCTGCAGTGCTTAAGGCCTAAATCATAAAGTTCACCTCTGTTGGAAAGAATTGATAGCTCTTATCTTTTGTAATAGTGTATGCCCCTTGATTAGTGTTCCACTTAAAATGACTGAATTGAGATTATTAGATAAAAATGCAAAGTTTTGAGGAGCTGAATAAGAAATATGTACTGTATTGTATTTATGAACATTTCTGCCTGTAGTTTTGGATTGTTCAGTTGTAAAGTCGCTCCCAGTGGTAGAAGTAAAAATGCTTGTAATCATAATGCTTATAGAACTTATTTCTAAACACCAGTTAGATCAGGTGCTTTTGAATATGCTCAAAAACCAAATTACCATAAATATATTGATGAAATAAAAGGCAGTGTTAACATTGTCTGTATCTACTTAATCTGTAGCAGTTTATCACGAGGAATCTTTAATGAACTGGTTTTGAAAACCAGTAATTTAAAACACCGTATTTTGGCAAATCATCAAAATCAATTTCCTGTTACAGGAATAGTTTTTCTTACATTTCTCTTCTTTGCGAGAGAGCCTTCTCTGTATTAATTGCTTCATGCTTGAATGGCAACGCTTGATTTAGCTACCGCTAAATCATAGACAATTCTATCAGGTTAAAGCTTCATGAGTGGTAAAGTTATCTCCTGAAGCCTGCATGGCTTGCAAAGAGCAGTTCGGTAGCCCCTTTTGAGTACCTGGAGAAAAAAGAAATTGAATGTTTGAAAGACACTCTCAGTGTCAAGAGATGCGAGTTTATTTTTTTCTGAATTTTTTAATATAGAAACATTGAATGCCTCATGTAAGAAATCTGGAAGTGACTAAGCAGATAATAAAACTTAGAACATAGATATAACTGATAGCTATAGAAATAATTGACAACAAAAAGATGGATGTTTAATTGGGAGGAATAAAATAACTGAGTGGAATCCCTTGTCACAGCAAAACCACATAGAACCTCTTAGTTCATTTTTAGTGCATCTTCTCAAACATGATTTCTCTGTGTGTGTTTTTTTTTTTTTTTTGTCTTAACTGACTTCTGTTCCTTGTGGCAAAGATTTTTTTTTTTGTCAGTCTCATTTGTTTTATGCTACTAGAAAAAGAAGTTGTAAGCCTAGGACTTAGTTCTAGGCTTAATTTCCCAGCTGTACTCTAACTGAAACTATTTTGCCCTCAGGAATTAAAATTGTTGCAAATTGAGAACTCCTAAAATAGTTGGCTGAGAAATTTTTTTTTTCCCCCGCTTCTGCCCCATTTGAACAAGTTTCCATGATCATGGTGTGTTGTCCGCAGGCCTGGGCAATAATTAATCCTCTGTCAAGAAGTTCACTACTGTTTTACTTCATAAGCAGCAGAGCATATTATTCTGTAGGTCACTATGTAGTAATGATGGGATTGTCACTTGGCTGTCACTAGAAATATTAACTTCCTCTATCCCTATTTCTGGGAGCAATCTTCAAGACAGATTATCAGTTTTGTTTATATTTCACAAGTGTTTTCCAGCTGAATTGATAAACTTGTGCATCAATTACACCATGATTCTTGCTTTATTATGGACTACTATGACAAAAGGTCAAAACAATTCTGAGACAAGTTTTCTTAAAAATGTCCCATGTACTCTGTTGATGTAAACCATGGCAGTCCATAGAGTCATTTCAGTGATTTTAGACTCTGTAAAGTGTGTGTTTTCCAAGGTCCTAGTTGCAATGCTCTCCTGAAAAGCATGTAGTCATGTATTTGCCAGTTGATACAAGCTGGGTAGTTTTCACAAAGTGATCCATTGCTGATCTTTATCTCTCCATGAGTTAGCATGGACTTAGTTCATGAGTGGCTATGTGGTAGGCTAGTTTTTAACCCCAAGTTCTATTGTGTTGACGTTTTTAATAGTCTTTATTTTTATTTTAATCCATTAAGAACTTGCTGTGAAGACTCATGAAATCTCAGCTGGTTTATATTAACTGCTTTTCCCACACTTTATGGATTCTTGTAACTTGGCTTTCAGTCTGTAACATGAACTGTTGGAATCATTACTGAAATATAACTTGCTAATGGGAGATGCCTTGTTTTTCTGCTTTTGTTATTTTACTCGTCACTTCACCTAAGCGAGAAGTACTGGTAGCATGATCCTTTGGGTTGGGGTAAATAAATATGCCTAAGAACTGATAGCTTCTGTTCTTTAATAACTGCTCTGTAATTTCAGAGTATCACAGTGCATCTAACTTGTGCTTTTTCTATTGAAAAAACAAAACAAAACAAAAAAACGACAACACAATTAACAAAACCCCAGAGCTTGGCAGGGTAAACATTCTTTTGGAGAAGAAATTTGCATCTTCAAAGTCTTAATAGAATCACAGAATTTTCCTTTTTCATATGTCATGACTTGAGATTTTGGAATTAAAACATTTCAATAAAGAAATACATGTGCATTGGAAAGAGTAAAATGTTTCATTTCAAATTAAAATAATGGTATTCTAATACAAAATAAAACAAAAATGAAGCAATTTCAAAATAATATTTTAGAAAAAATGTAAAAATAATAAACTTTTGAAATTGGTTTGCCTGCTGTTCCTCTGATAGAATATGGCTGGAAGTTTCTGATGCCAGCTTTTAAAGTATATATGTTCTGACAGCTATATCCCAGTAATATTAGTGCAGTATATTTTTTTTCCAGTGAACAGTGAAATGATACACAACAGGATTTGTCATTTCTTTCAGTGAATTTGAGTTGAAAACACTTAAGTTTTACTCTATCAAGCCAACAGCGGCTTTAGCTCTAATGCCTGAAAGGTCAGCTTTTTCTTTTGTGGAATGGATTGTATGTATTGGAGCAGACTCAAAACAGACCCATTCATCATTTGAGGGGGCTGGGAGTGGGTGCTGAAGTATTGCCTCTGGAACCTTCATCTTTTAAGAGTTCGCTCCATGTAAGTCTCTGTGTGGATGTGGCAACTGGCAGAAGGTGGCATGTTTCAAAGTCTTGTCTCTAAATACTTTAAAAAAAAAAAATCTCATTTGTTGAAAATGAAAGTAAGTGAAACAAAAGGCTGTAATGGGTTTACATTTGATATACTATTTTAATGAAGTATTAGTGGCAAGATAAGTTTTAGCAATATTTCTTTTTATAGTGATTGTTAATGTTACTAAGTGAAGTATAGAGAGTTGGAGACTTGTTGTAAAGTCTAAGCATTATGCATGTCTGTATATATGTGCACACAGGAAACCTCGACCTGTCTCTCAGCTGGTTGCACAACAGGTTCCTCAGCAATTCGTGCCCCCTACACAATCAAAGAAAGAGAAAAAAGACAAAGTAGAAAAGGAAAAAAGTGAAAAGGAAGCAACAAGCAAAAAGAACAGTCATAAGAAAACCAGGTAAAAATTTTAGAAACTCTTTGCATTATTGGTAAAACATAATTTAGAAAAGAAAATAAGAATACGTTTTGTGATTTTTTTCACTGCTTTATAAGTGCTGCAGCAAATTCCTTTGACAATAAGGCCGAGTATTTGTGTGTGAAGTTTCATTGGTTTAGTATGCCTATTAAATACAAAGAAAACCTGTAGTTTGTCATTTTGACCAGAAGATGGAGACTAGCTGAATATAGGACTTGGATATTTTTGTTAAGGGTTATAGATGTATTTTTCACACCATACAAAACTGTAGGTAGGCAAACAAATTATATTAATCCCTGGAAAAGAGAGGGGACAGGGGTGACTCGTGTTCACACAAAATTAATAGGAGAGAGAGAGAGAACCAGTACCAGACTGCCAAAGAGTGGGAAAGTGACATGGTTATTGCTATCCTTGCAGAACTGGAATAAACTTTGAAGGGCTGAACTAGGGTATAAATTAATGTGACAGGATAAGGCGTGTATATTACCTAGTGGTAAAAATCTATGCTACCTCTGGGATGCTGAAGGAAACCTTGGACTCCTAGAACTGAGAACATGAAATATTACAGTACAGACAAGCAGTTGTAAAAGCCTTGATCTTGCTGTAAGACCAGGTGGAAGGAGGGCACAAACTGCAAAACAAAAGCAGCCAGCTTAACCTCTAAACCGTCACAGTCTAAGTATAAAGCTATTGTGGCAAGAATGTTGTGCCAAAAAAGCTGAGAAGTATACAAGACGTAGTCTAATCAAATGTGGGAGGAAGTATTGATTTGGGGGTTTTTTTTTGGAAGCATTCCAAAATAGTCCAGCCGAAGAAGGTCCTTTGGGATTAGTTATGCAGAGAAATAGCAGATATTTCTCTTGTGCCTGAAATAGGATCATCAGGATCAGAACCAGGGAGAAATTGAGAGTCAGGAGAGTACAGTCATTAAGAAAGTAATGGTTAGGATTAAGGACACAGAGATGTTCAGTCTTTTTTTTTTTTTTAATACCCAAATTTACCAGCTTACACAATGCAGCTGAAGTACTTCGGTTTTGAACTATTTGCAGATAACACAGTGTATTTTAATTAAACTAATTAAATATTACAAATTGAAATATTGATGGTTGAATTGCAATAGTATATTACAAATGCAAAAGTGAAGTACGGAAAGAGAGAAAACATTTTAAAAATAACTAAAATATAAATCAATACTAGTATTGAGAATTGCATTAAGAATTGTTATTTGAAATAACTAGGCCACTATTTTTTTTTTTTTTTTAGTGCTTCAAACAGATCAATTTTTTCACAGAATTGACTTGTTGGGTAGGATAGCAAGTTAAGAACGGTAGATTAGTTTAATCAGATTTCTTCAGTATCCTTTGGGAAAAGGCTGTCCTTTTAGAACTTGTACATTATTGCTGGAAACAACCATAAAAATCTGTGTGCACACTCGGTGTGATTAATAAGCTCCAGGCATGGCACTTATGCAGGTTGATAATGCTGAATTTTTCTCTCCATTCCCATGATAGAGAGCAGCAGATTTTTCAGTTTTCTCTTAAGTTCTTCAGTCTTGCTACTTCTGCCTCAGGGGAACAAGATGTCAAAGCCTGTCTCTGTTCTAGTGGAGGAAAGGCATGAGGTATTTCAGCTGAAGTGACTGGGAACCTATTCTGCTTTCAACAAAGTCAGATGATAGGGTAAAGGTTAGAGCTTTGCTGTTAGCACACCTGCTAACATGTGATGTCGTTATTTTATTGCAACTTGAGCTTGTGAAAGCTGTGGAGTCAGTTAAATGCATAAAGCTAGGCTGTTCATACCCACTTGTATAAATTCATGTGTCTGGTGACAGTTTTTCATCATAGTCAAAGGAAAGTAGTAAATTGAAAGTACTTTATGCTAGTCACTAGCAAAAATATGATGACGAATATATATCGAAGTGTTCTTTGGTTCTTTTTGTTCTAAAAATCAAGCAATTGAAAGATTAGATGAAAAGACTTATCCTCTTAGCACTGTGTGTAATACTCAGCTCTGTGCATAGTTGAAATCACAGCATATGCCGGGGGTACCAGTTATACTGTGAACACAAAGTTCAGTTCAAATAGCATATTAGCAGTCCTAGTGAGGTTTTGAAATGAAGTAATACCTGCTGCAAGTTAACATGATCTGTGTTGTTGAAGTCAAAAGACAGACACCAACATCTTCAGTATTGAACATCATTCTCTACTTAGAATTGTTGCTTAAGGCTGCTGTGGAGATGGATGCTTCTCTGGATCAAATGTATCGCTTTCTGGAGCCACAATAAAGAGACTTCATTTTCAAAAGTAAAAACCTTCACGTGTGCAACATGACCATATTTCTGCACAGTTCCATTATTCATAGGGTCAACTTTTAACTAATCTTAGGGGAGAAGGTGATGCGTTGTGTTCAGCTATTTTAATGTAAAGCATACTAGGAAATACTCCACTGTAAACACTTGAGGTATATTGTTTTCCGATATATTACCTGTTGCACACAGCAATCTTATGTACAGATGTATGTTCTCCAGAGCTCCTAAAAGGTAGGAGCAAGACAAGATAATAGGATGGTGTGTGTGCTTTTAATACAGTTATTTGCTTTATTTAGGCCAAGATTGAAAAATGTGGATCGAAGTAGTGCTCAGCATTTGGAAGTTACCGTTGGGGATCTGACAGTCATAATTACAGACTTTAAGGAGAAAACTAAGTCACCACCTGCTTCCAGTGCTGCTTCTGCAGATCAACACAGTCAGAGTGGTTCTAGCTCTGACAACACAGAGAGGGGAATGTCCAGGTCATCTTCACCCAGAGGAGAAGCATCATCACTGAATGGGGAATCTCATTAAAGTTTATTTCCTCCAGTTTCTTTAGTCTCTTCTCTTCAAAACATGCAAATACATAACTTCTGTCACCTGTTACCACATTTTCATGACAGATTATTCATGCACAATTGGTATGTTGACTGGAACATAATTTGTGTAGTTTTAAAAAAAGTTCATTGGTAGAAACAATAATTTAAATGCAATCTACAAATGCTTACAAAGCATTTTCAGACCAACTTTTTAATCTTCATGTGTAAAGGTGCCATGAAAATGTGGTTTGAATGTTCATTATGCAGTGTTATTGGTAAGTCCATTTTCACTTTTAGTTTAGTGAATTCTAACACAACTCTTGGAGTCTCTACTATTGGCATGTACTGAATTTAAATTTTTATAACATAGTTCAAGCTGCCTAAATATGTATTACTTGAGAATTGTGAAACAGTTATATGTATGCAAGTCAAAGATCAACTTAATCAACTATTGCTGCAACAGAATTTTCATAATAATTATCTTCTTAAAAACACCTGCTGGTACTTGGTGTGGTTAAATAGGAAAAATGTTGTTAAATAAAACATTTGTATGAATTTTTGCCAATGTTTGACACATTTTACTAGATTACTGTTACTGAATTATGTTGATGGTTTTACCAATATTTTTTCACACTTAAAACACTTATTGTAATGTTTACGAGCAAAATAGAAAACGCATTCTAAGCATTGATTGGTTAACCTTATGATTCAGGTGAAGTACTACATTGTCACTGTACACTGGTGTTCTATGTTGTATAACAAATATTGAACCACAGATAACACATTTGACAAAAACTAAGATTTGGAAATATGAAAGTTTGGAAAAGCTTTAAAAATAACAGAAGTGCAGTTCTCATTTCTGCTTAGTGCTGTTTTCTTGCCCCAAATTTATCTAGTGTCATATAGTCACTTCATCATTTCATTACAGGAATATCAGATGTTGCACAAGAATAAGGAAATAACAATACTATTTTTTTTTTGTTCCTGAATCGATTTCTTTAACATCGATTTGGCCTATTAGAATATATTATGTCATAAATCATATGAAAAAGTCAGTTACCTACTTTATGGCATAAACTGTCAACACTTACACACTTAGCAATATACTGATACAGAGCAGAACTATTTACAATCCCATCTGGTATTATGTAAAATTACCAATAAAATATTTTTGTGAATACAGATTTTTGCATTTTTGTTTACAACCAATAAGTGTTTTGATACACACATACAGTCCATGTATAGATTTTAAATTATAGATTCAGGTTCAGTGCAAAAGTCCATTTAGTTCCTTTTAGTGAGGTAGTCCACTTACACTCCTGAGATTCTTTTCTTTTTCATTCAACGTAAATATATTTTTAAGCCCATGTAAAATTTGGATGGACCTTCTTGGTAGTGAATCCAGCCCCAAATTATTACCAACATACCATAGGTATGTCTTCTTAAACAGCTAAAACAATGGATTTTTGTAGCCCCTGACAATTGTGATGTTTAGTGGTTTCTTGTAGTAATGTATTTTTCTGTTTTTAATGCAGTACTTCTACAGGCACAATGGTACTGTTCTATTTTGTAAGATGCTGTTGTGAAATACAATGTTAGTTGCATAAAATGAAAGTCTGATGTGATATCTGAGAACATACATACCTCATTCCTTGGTGTTGCTGTTTAAACTTTTTAGACATCAAATGTTAATTATAGGCTATTTCAGATGGATAACTACTGACCTGTTTATTATGTGTTCTGCTTTATCTTTCTAAATAGGATGTCTGTTCATTGCCGTCACCTGGCCAAATCTTAGTATCTGTAAACCAATGCATTTTAAGGTTCTTAAATGTTTTTGGGGCTGGGCTGGTGTTCAGAATAACATACACTAGTTTTTAAAAGAAAAATACATGCTTCTCAACTTTATTTTTTTATATTTTATTTTTAGGTGGAACTATTTGCAGAATGTACTGATGTAATGGATTACAAGAGAGCTGAAACTGTTTAAAGCAAGCAGTTTAATGATAGCAAATCTCATTGCAAGATGTTTTACGAAATGTGTTTCTAATACAAAATGTAATGAATGCTAACACATTTCATAATTCCTTGCAAACAAATAATAATCTATTACCAGTAGTTCACTAAATGAGAAACGTATTTTTATTTAACTTTATGTGAATAAACCACCCAGCACTGCCAACAAGAGGCCTCTTTGTATCTTCAGAAGTAAGTAGCCATTTGGTTTGGATGGAAGGAAGGGAGGATGGAGTGGATTTTACTATGATACAACTGTTTCTGGAGGATAATCTCAAACATGTGGTACAAGTATGGTTATAATCAAAAAGAATGCAGAAAAGTCTCACTGTTCTTTATGGAATAAGACATAGAAAAGCAATTTCTAACCACAGATACAACACAAGTCAGCTAGGATCTAAAAACTGAGCTGTGGTGGTTTTAACTGAACTGTTACGTTGCCAGTGTTTACATTGCAGTGATGCCTGTTTTGGCATTAAACAAAGTTAAGATAATTTTTGCCTGTTTGTGATTAAAGGGATGTGACAGTACTGACAGCAGAGTAGACAAATTTGAAGTAGAACGTGGCATTTGACTCTGTTCTTAATGTTATAATTTAAATGAACTTCACTTTCATAATTTCTAAATAATTTCGACTTGTGGTAATCCTAAATCCTTTTTCTAACTGTAAATATATTTAAAAGCATCTTTACTGCATTTATAAAAAGTGAAAATTTAATGTTGTAATGTGTTTTGATTAGCTATTTTTCTCGGTGGCTGCTCTCTGCATAAGAACTGTTATTTGTTAAATCTATATATGCACCAGTCTTCAACAGCCATACATCCTGAGTTGTTCCTGAAATGGTGACCCAACAAAGACAAGTGTGATAGGGCTCAATGTAAATGAGTTCCTTTATGTGCTGATTGGTTGTCCAGTTTCAGAAAGGAAAAGGGGGGAGAAATGGGGGAAAACGAAGTATAAATAGTTCATTGATAAAGTGTACAATAATTCAGTCTCTTTCTAACTTTGCGACTGATTATAGGTAGTATAAGGAAAAAAACAAATACACACTTGTAGACTCTGATCCTGGTTTTTCTGCGTTTAAGTCTATATATTGGAGATAAACAAAAGCTGTTATACTTAACAGCGAGTTAAATTATGCCATATAAAATCTTGATTCTAACAGATGCAGTAGTAAAAAAAATAAATTAATTAAAAATTTAAAAATTCTTGATATTAAAAGTCTTGAGATTAAGACTATTACTGAAGTTTTAACCTATTATATGTTTCTCTAGATATTTGCTGTTTTGGGGCATAGATTGTAAAATCTCAAAAATTGTTTGATTTTATAATTTGTGCACTTTACTCTTTTTTAATATTACAAATAGCACATTTTTAGATAGCCATGTAAGATAGAATACTTTTTATAATTTGTTTTTACCAGTTCACTGTAGTGTTCAGGCAGGTCTTCTAAACTTCAGACAAGTGTATGGCTCAACATCTTAAAATATTTAATTTAGATGCATCTTAGATTCTTTATTTTTTTTCTCCTGTGTCGGAAGCCTAACAGTTTCCCACAGTATGCTGATTTACTATACTTTTATTATATAGGATGGATTTGGCATGGAACTGTCTGTTGTGTACTTTTTGTGTACATCCAGGTTTCTTTAACTGTATCTGCTTGGTTTTTTTCTGTCACATGCCTTTATTTGACTCTGCTCCCTACTAGGGAGTCTGGATTTACTTCCTTTCAAATATCAGAAACTATATGGAAAGAGAAATGCAATTTAATTTATCCAAAGGCAGCAGCAAGTGCTGTATGGGTAGTAAATTTGGCCTGTGCTTACTCAGGAATAAGATAGGTAAGATAAAAACTTAATGCTGGTTTTGGCTAGTGGACCGGTCAAATATGGTATTTTGCAAATGTGTACTTCTATCTTAATGTTAGGATTTGGGTGTGCTGGAAATACAATTTGAGCCTTCAAAGGCTTTTCTTACCTGAAATTATGCCCTGATTTATGTCAAAGCAGTCTCAATTTGAAAGGGTATAACTTCACAAACTAGCAAAAGCTGTACAGTAAAATCAGTCAAACTGAGGGAGCTCAGTTGGTTTTCTTTCTTGCTGTCCAAGTTTTAATAAGAGGAAATACTGTTAAAAGATACCCAAGAGATTTGTCTAAGGCAACAATCAGATACTGAGCATACAGATACTTAGTTTGACATCTAAAGAACCACCCGTGTTTTAATAAGGATTAACAGGATTTAACTACTAAATTAAAATCAGAAAAGTGCTTCGCAAGTTAATTACAAATCAGTGCTTCACAGAAATTAATGTAACTTCCTGTCTAGAATGGAGTAAATGGTGCAACAGCAGCAGGTACTGCACACTTGCTACTAAATGGTATTATCCAACAGCAAGGGATGTTGAAGTGACTTTGCTAAGACGTTACACAAGATTGTGATATGTCTGTGAGGAAGGCCTAGGGGTTCAGGTGTCAGCCCCCACCCTGCCTAAACTAATACCATTGGTTTCAAACAGTGAAAGAAAATGCAGTGAACAAATAAAGTAGTTTCACATCCTAGAGTCTTAGTAATGCAGGGGCTGTTTACAGATTTTGTTTAACTGTATTGATGAAAATTAATTCAAATGAACCACCACTGTGTAATACTTAATCCCTTGGGAGATGTTTTCAATCTTAATTTTGCTCCTTTTATTATGGGAAACAGATAAAAGTCGTCTGAAGGAACTTGCTCTGTCCACTGACACAGAGGATTTTAAGAGCAGACAGTAGACTTGAGAGGTGGTGTTAGCAGTGCTGTTTGATTTTTACTGTTGTTTAACGGGCACAGGAAGTTGTAGCTGTACTTCCAAGGAGTTAAATGTGGAAGATGGAGGGCAAAAGTATATTCCACATCTTAAATGAGTATTACTAAGAATGATCACAAAAGATTGCTGTACCATTTTGGGGTTGTAAAAGACAAAATGATAACATCTAATCTCTCTTTGTCCCATATGCTTAAAAAGAAAATTACCACCAGAAAAAACACTATTCCAGTAACAGTAATTTAAAGAATAGTTCCAAAATTTTTATTATTTTGTGGAAAGTATGGCCTATCTTGACAGAGGTAGGAATATCTGAGCAAGAAGCCCTTCAGGACTACATTTTCATGATCTGGGCCACCTGGAAATGTGTAATCTTCAATTACACTGTTCTCTGTGTATAAACATTGATCTTAGTCAAAGTGCTTTTAAAGTGAACAACCTCCCTTAAACTTGAAGATTTTAAAACGTGCGGCTTTAGATCAATGGCACTCTAATTTACAGTGGAGTTATTGAGAGCACAACTAAGGAAAAGAGACTATTAATCCATCTTTTGGATCTGTTCATAATTTTCCTCTTCTGTATGAAGAAGCAAAAGGATACAGAAGAAGGAAATATATATAACCAGGGCTAATGAAATTTGGCTCTTTACCCCCTTCCCAAGCTCACTAGATTCTACAGACTACAAATTCTGTTTGGTTCAGAGGCAGTCGCAGGTGCTTGATCACTAGAAAAGGATGGAGTTGCTCAATCACTTAGCATCTTTGTTAAGATGAGTGGTCAGGCCGATTCTACTTTCTGAATCCCCACTTTGGGAATACAGAGATCTAATTTGCTATTTATATGCATCTAATATATAACTACCATCCATGAACAATCTATTTCAAGCTGATCCTTCTTTGCAGAGAATAAATCAAAATGCTTCAATACCAAGCTCAGTTTCTGACAGCACAGATCTCTGAGCAAGAAAATCAGCCATCTGACTGATCATCTCTTACTGTAACAGCCTTCAGCTATGAATTAATCTCAACAAGGGAAATCTCTTGAGGTTACATGTATTTATTGAGTATCACTACCCCAACCTCTGAAAGAAACACATTCTGATTCCTTCTTTTAAAGTACATCTATAGTGTAAGTGGATGCAGTGAGTTTGAAATAATTTATTATGCTTGCTTTTGTAAGTGAGGAATTTGACTGCTATTGCCAGTTCTTCAGCTATATTTTGGTTTCTGTAAGATGACCGTATCAATGGTACGAGTAGCTTAGAGGTCATTATCAGTTTTCTCACTGTTGTCCTTGTTTCTGTATAATTGATGTACCGAGCAGATTCTTGCTTAGCAAACTTACACCGATCCTGTACCATTCAAGCATTCTGGCTTGAGGTAGCTGGCGTTCTGGGATGCCAATTACTGGTCTTCATATCTGCATTTCTGCAAATGGTCTGATTCTATTGCTGGGAGGCTTCCAAACGTGTCGAAATAATCAAAATGCTTTCCAACTGATGCAGGCATAATGTTGCTGAGTAACTTGCAGTACCTGGAGGGTTTTTGAAAGGTGCAAGAAAACACTGTCAGGGCCAGCTGGAGAAGGAGATCGGAGCATGCACAGATACAGAGTGCTTTCTCAGCTTCTCAGCTTTGCTACAGAAATTGAGTAGGCAGCTTCTGTTTCTCAAATGTCAAACACCTTCAGAAATCTCAGCCCAGCAAAAAGACAGAGGATGGGGGGGTTGCAGGGAGGAAAGAACAAAGAAAATGTATTTTCAGAATAATACCTAGAAAAGCCACTATATAATGGCTTCTTTGTGTGTTTAGTATTCCTTTCTCTGTGTACTCTATTGGAAGTAGGCAGCATCCACACTTCTTACAGGTGTGTGTTGCTTTATAATTCTTGATACCTGTTGGTTCAGTGACTTTTGGCCTAAAGGTAGATGTAGGGTTTTGTGAATTTAATAGTAAATACCATTAACTTTTTGCTCTTGGATACAGGTCCTTTATTGAAAGGGCAGAAGTTTTGATTAAAGAACTAGTCAGGAAAAAAATTCCTCTTGTACATTTAGATGCTACCCAATTTTTTCAGGACTACTAGAAAAAGAATAACTTTATAGAAGAAGAATAACTTTATGTTGAAAGGGTAATAAGAACCCAGACTAGAATGGATGTGGCTTCTGAAGAGTTTTGTGGCCAGTAGTTCTGAAGAGTTTTGTGGCTGTTTTCAGTGATTATTCCACACCTTAGCCCGTTAATCTTGACGCATTGGTAGGGCATCCTCACAAACAAATCCAGACTACCAATAGCACTGTCAGATGCTCTTAAAATTTACTAAGTGCCTTATACAGAGCATCACTGAGGCAATGATTCAATTGAAAGGAAGTTTGATAAAAGATTTACTCCTCTGGATGGAGTCACAGGTTATCAGTTGTAACCAAGGTGATGTTCCTGGTTATAACACACAAGTCTTATATTTTACTGCTGATACAAGTACCTAAGAAGAAACAGTTAAGAAATTTCTGAGGCTTTCAGTTTGTAAAGCATACATTATTTGGAGGAGAGTTTTTTCTTCCAGTCAGCTGTGATAGCCTACTGGAATATCACAGAAGCGAATAAAACTTTGGAGTATTTCTGGATGCTTTCACACTTCTCAGTTTCTTGATCAAGGACAGTATTCCCTTTCTTGGGAAGGGGTACATAAGTTGGTTTTATTCATTGGGTTTATGTTTATCCAACAGTAGTTTTTAAGGATTTTATTGTCAGAAAAAGGGCTTGTTATTTTGAAAATAAAACTCTTACCTGCAAGGTGTCTTCCCCAAAATGAGTAAGTGCCTTTTCTGTTCTGACTCCTAGAAGTGTTTATTTTGTCAGATTGAAACTGAATGTCCTACATAAACCAACTATTGAGTATTGAGTGTTACCAATGGCTTGAAATCCTTTCACTGAAAGAGTAAGAGACAGAATGTAAGCCACTTGAATTATTTTGAGACCTGATGTTATCAGAAGTTTTATAACCGCTATGAGTAGTATACTTCTAAGAACAATGTAACTTTTCAGGAACTTGATGTTGATATGAAATAAATATTTATTAAAAGAAGTATATTAAATAAATGTAAGTAAGAGAAAATGTTACACCATGGGGGCAACAGTCTTGCTGTTAGCAGTCCTGACTACTTAATGGAAAGTAAAACTGAGACCCTGAACTCTGACTGTAAAAGAACAGGCGTTTGGTGAGATATTGGGACTGTGAATCTTAGGTCCACATTCTAATAAAGTAATTCTTCCTACGTAAGTTTTTACCAATTCTCAAGCAGAAAAGAAAGCATGAGCAGATATTGTTAAGAGGCCCTCTGGTTTTATTGGTGCTGCTTCTTATCTCTAGAGGAATTTTTTTTTTTTTTTAAACTTTGCTCAGGACTGGTACAGCTGAAAGTATATTTTCCCTTCATTCTTAAGCCTAGACTTTGAATGGAGTTTCTCTGAGACAATTTTGTAGTGAAATCGTATTCCCTACAAACATTGAAGACAAAAATAAACATCTCCGTGAACAAAAGATTGTGTGTGGCTGTAGTTTTTAAATATATACAAATTTGTATATGAAAATCATAAAGGTACAATAAGAAAACTATAACCAGTATACTGGTCTACACTTAAAAGGTCTCTGTGTGGCAGTCACAAAATACAGTTTGCATCATGAGATGCTACACACTTTGTCTGATAAACTGTGTTCAATTGCAGTTAAGCACACCTTTAAATAAAGACGACAATACATTGCATTTAGCCAACTGTATGGTAACCCATTAGGACACTGCCATAAACTGACCCCAAATCAAAGACCTTATCAAACAATATAAAATTCTGAAAGCTTAGCAGAAAAGCTGAGGGAAAATGTCTGGAAAGAAAGAAACTGTAGGAATCATAGTGCAAAGATATTTTTCCCAGAATAAATGCTACATAGTGGTAATGGGATTGCTTAAAAAATTAATAACTCTATGGTCATTTCGCATTGTTTGATAACATACAGTTGGTTTCAGATGAGAGGGAATAGATGTGTTTGAAGCCCAGATTAATGACATGTATTGAAATGCCTTTCCCAGGAATAAATGAATATTTCTTGCCTGTGAACAATCTGACAAGAAAGTATTTTTGGTGAAGACTATTGTGGGTGCACTATTTTTAATCTTGAGTGGCGGTGGTGATGCTTAGGGTGTGTTACGATAAATAAAATGGTAAATAAAATTATTAAATTATTCAGAACCCTTTTCTGAATGTGTTATTTGTATTGTCTAGGAAAAAGTGAAAGAAAGGCAAGCGAGCAATTTGGGGATAAAAGAGCAGACGTAGGGAATTTGATCTCAAAATGCCAAGAGGCCTCTGCTAATTTATTGGCACAGGTGATTCATTACACCTTTTGGCCATGATGCAAGTTGAGATACTCCTGGGAGTACTGCTTCCAAAGCAAGAAACTATGAAAGCATCCATGCTTGAAAATTAAAGTAACAACTGAGGTAAGAAGCTTGAGAAGAAGGCTTTGTCTAAGGCTCCATCTCATTGTATATACAACTGCTATTTGTTACTAAAGCAGGTTCTAAAAAAATGGTCTGTGTGGGTTGTCTCAGGTTATCTTCAAGCTACACACAGTTCCAGTGTTCAGTTCTCTGAATTGTCATTTGTGTTGCTTTGCAAGGTGAGGTTAAGATCCTACAAAGCATTCCTGAAAGAAGCTGGTTCCCTTGTAAAGACTGTTGGAGTTTCCAATTTGTGTATCAGGTGACTGAAGTGTTGGCCATGAGTATGTAAACTCATCCACATTCCAGGGTGGCAGCGTGTGAGGCTGAGAGATCCTCAGGTGCAGAATGCTTTTAATGCCACCCTGTAAATGCACAGATCCCGAAGTGCAGGCAGTGGTAGCAAACTGCTGACATAACTACCAGGTTTGGTACCAGCAGAAATACCGACTTGTATGAGACTAAATTGGCATCAGATACCAGAATGGGGCTATTGTCACTAATTAAGGGAGTTTGATTCGGTCTACTTACTCGTCTGTTTTAGAAGAACAGAGGGAATTCAAAAGAGGAGAGCAAGCTGTAAGGCACTTCTATCACCCCTCTATTCATTTCTTTCCTCTGTTGACTGTTCGGTAAGTTTGCTACACAATTATGGGTCTGAAGATGAAAACAAATGTCTTAAATTCCACACAAATGTTTTGGCAGCCATGGGAGATCACAGCATTCCACTATGGGCCTGGTGCCTGGAGATAGCTTAGGACAGCGTCCTGTTTTATCCTTTCTTGACCTGAAAAAAAAATAAGATTTAAAAAAAAAAAAAAAATCTGAAGTTACAGATAAAAGAGGGGTAAAGGAAGGCTGAGTAATGTGTAAGTGCAATCATGACTCAGCCATGCTTGAAGTTATTTTAGATTTTTCAGACTTGAAGTTAGGCGCAACACAATATCCCAACTACTTACCAACTCAACTGCTACTTGTGCAGTGGAATAGTTTGAGAACACAATTCTGATGATACCTTGGATAAATCAGTATAATGTCTGCACACTCCAGAGAGTGATACAGGACTGTGCAAGGTAAGCTCACCATAATTACCTCTGTGAACTTCAGACATGGTTAAGACTGTTGACCCAAGTGTGTTTTGTCTGTTATGTGGCTATTCTATTCAGTTTTAAAAGGAGCAATCCATGCAAAAGAAATTATCTCTTCTTCCTGATAATTCAAGCACTAAATGCTTTAAACAGGTAGCACATTTGACTGCTCTAATCTGGTTTTTGAATTAGTAATTATGGAAATAAAGCAACCCTTAGAGAGAAGGATGTGGAAAGACGTGCATTAGGACTTTATTTCTCTATCCTTGACATGTTTCTACACTGGTTTACAATGTTAAACCCTACTTGAAGAGGACTGGGGGGAAAAAGCAGGGTACAGATAAACAAAACAAAAAGGTAAAATAGCAAGTGGGCTGTCTAGAAATTGACACAGTAAATCAACTCTTCACCTGGTTTGACTGACTGCTTTCTAAAAGCTCTCCTTACTGAATGACCCTCTGTCATCTTTTCCATTCCGGGCTATGCTGCTGCTTTGGAATGGGGGCAACTGGTTACCTGGCTCGCTGCCTCCAGTGTATCGGCTGGCTGGCATTGTGCAACGGCTCTCAGAGTCTCTGACAGCTCTCCTAAACCTCTGTTTCCTCTCTTAAGGGTAGCTGGCAGTTGTCATCTAACTTTTTTTTTTTTTTCATTTTAGGTGTTTGCTGGATGCAGTGTCACTCTCCTAGCTGTGTAGGCTTTTTGCACTTGGAAATAATAAATACAGAAAATGCATGACGTTTTTACATCAAATATGAAAAAATAAACTAAAAAAAAGCAGTGGTTTTCAGTCTGTGGTCTGAGGGTCTCATGGGCTAATGCATTCCTTCTGAGGATCTTCAAAAAGATGACTAGGATGAGCATACTTACTGCAAGTAGCATTAAATTCACTGCATAGAACCTGCACTGTTACTGTGAAGTGGAAAAGGTAGAAAATACCTTACAGGATTACTTTCGGGTTAGTTGATGTCTTTCATCTTAAAAATGGAACTTTAAAGCCACGATGCAAAGTTACTACTGTGTATGGTTACTGCTAGTAAGTATTAAGAAAAAATTATGTTGTAGAAATTTAAAACCCCAGATTTGGGTGTCAGGGAACTCAAAGCACTTGATGCTGTAGCAAACAACAGCAGGACAAGATAAGGACTTTTAAACTTGAGTATAGTTATATATAAACAAACAAATAAACAAAAGCCAGGCCTGCTTGCCTTCTTTCTATATTTTTGTACATGGTACATATTTGCATAAGTAGATAAATTTGCTTTGACTCTTTCCAGGAGTATTTTAAACACAAATACCTGTGCTAGGTATCGTCCTTGGAGAATTTTAGATGAGGCAAAGAAGCAAAAGCCCAACACTGACAAATCCCTTTGGACTGGTGTTTTGGAGTTCCATATTTTGAAATCTTTACAGAAAAAAAAAAAAAAAAATGACGGAATCGACAGAAAGGACTCAGATACCAACAGGAACAATAGACTTATTTTACTAACTATTGCAAAATAATACAAAACATAAGATAATACGTTTAGTCAGAATGGTAAGCTTATTACACTCTAGTTATAAGCAGCAAAGAGAATAAACAAGATAATACTCCTTAGTTCTAAAATAATATGACAAGAAAATAAAGCAAGACAAGGTAATGCACCTAATCCTTACTACATAAAGTCAGTGATAGTGATTAAGAAAGATACGTCACCAATTGCCCTAATACTTTACCATCATCCAGATCTGCAGTCACTGGGGAGCCCTGGTTGCAGCGAGGATTTGGAGAACCTTTCCCAGCAATTGGGAGGTCCTATGCGGTGTGTCCACTCGTCGGTGAGGTCTCCAAAGTCGCTGCAAGAGGATCCAGCTTTTATAGTGTCGAATAAACAGGTTTCAAACTTTGAGTGCGGAAACATCTGGCGTCCCCTCCCTGCTGGATTTTGCCCAAAGCCAGGCCAGGGCGTAAGGAAGAACCCAAGCTGGGGCATGTGTATCTATTTGGGCTTTAACCACATATTTCTCAACAGGGTCTGGTGTCCGGCCTCACAGCCTTACCTCATGCCTCTAAATAAAGATCAGTTGATCGGCTCTTGTTACATAATGAAGTTACAACAGAGCTTCTATAGATAAATATACCAAGATAGACTAGTAATACATTCTATATGTGGCTACTACTACATATGATTAGTACTATATTGTGGGGTGTTGAGATTTGTCTAGTGGTCAATTTCAATTCTGGCCTGTTGTTCAGGCCTCAGTACTTCACAAGTAAAGAAAAAGAGATAAAAAGAAGGTTTTCTTTATGCTCCTGGAAATTATTCTTTCTGCTTTTTTAATATAGTAGAGCACTAAAAATTGTGCAAGTCTACATCTATAGATGGATATTTATTTATTTAAGACATAGAAGTTGAACTTTCTTAAGAGGAATGATACAAATATTTTGAGTCTCTACTGTTTAATCATTTATAATTTTTCCCAGAAGATCCATTAAATAAATTTTGAAGTAAATTGTACTATTGATGAAGATATAATTGATTCAAATTAGAAGAAATTAAGAACTTTGCAATGTATCACACCACTTCCCAAACTACTTACAATGCAGCTTAATTTGGTGTACTATTTTACTTAGGTGTGTATATTGCTGATGCCAAGAGTAATTGCAAAATACTGTAAGCTCCTGCTTATAATCTAAGTAGGTTAAACACACACACAACAACGCAAAACAATGAGAGCAAAAAGGGAAACAATGGGGGAAGGCAATAATATTTTGGTCATCAATAAAAATTGATTTTGAGAATTTTTATTAACATTTTTATATATTGGGGGCAGATACAGGGAAATTTGAAGAGTAGATACGGTAAGAATGGAAGGCAGTTGCAACAAACTAAATCCTTGTCTTAAAAATTAATTAGAAGGAAAGAAAAATTATGTCTGGCAGCAACAGAAAAGGGACATTGCACCAAGAAGTCTGA